ACGCAATTAAAGGGTATCTCAAGTCTCCTGGTGAATTATTTGACTTGGACAGCCTATCCCGAGCCAATCATTGGTGGAATGCCGTACTGGTTGATGGTGAATGGCGCATCATGGACTGTTCGTTAGCAAGCCCAACCAACCCGCGGAGGAGCCAGTACGTTACCAACAACCCTTCGTCGGCAGAAAGTTGGTATTTCCTCGCCCGTCCTCTAGAGATTTGTTATACACATGTACCTCTTTCTCATGAAGAACAACACATCTGCCCTCCTGTTTCCCCCGACGTGCTTCTTGCTCTGCCTACTACTTGCCCAACATATTTCAAGATGGGCCTGCAGTTTCCTGATTACGATACCAGTGTTGTCCGAATTGAGGGTCTGGAAGTCTTACAAATCCGTCTCTTTGTACCTCCAGATGTAGAGTGTGCCGCCGAAATCGAAGCTCCCGCTTTTGCCCGGGACGCAGATGGTGACTTCTTCGAAAGTGGAGAGGTGGTACGCAAGCGTGCCCTGGTCCAGCCCGACTGGGTCAACGGTCAAAAGCGTATCACTGTCAAAGCCATCTTACCAGGCGACGAAGGACAGGGCACGCTCAAGGTGTATGCGGGAAAGAAAGGGCTGATGCACTCCAGCCGTGATATTCCGCATCCTCTAGCTCTCACGCTCCCAATTATTCATGCTGGGGAGAATCCACCGTATGACTTCGTGCTCCGTCATCCAACTCCTCATGCCCAGCGCCACGATTTGTATATCATGCAGCCCCAGTGCGCAAGGCTTGCAGTCAACAATACGTTCGTCTTCGCCGTACGACAACATCCTTCCTCCCCGTCATCTTCGTCAATAAGCAATGAGGCAGGTATTAGTGGGCGAATCTCTCCATCTGTGTTCTCTAGACCCGCCAGTGCACTTAGCATGGTCTCCAGCTCTGCTGGTGGGTCCTCCGTGTCTACCGTTTCGAATGAATTCTCCGCGTCGACGTCAGCTATCTCATCGGGTCGGTCGGCCTCCGGGCGCGAGAAACCGGCCAAATTAGCGATACAATCGCCATCAAACAAGATCCTACGATTGACTCGAAAAGCCGACCACATGATCAGTGCCAACCCCAATGCCGAATCGGGCACTGATGCTACAGCTGACGGTAGTGTCTGGGAAACGGTCATTAAGATCGGGGAACGGGGTACCTGGAGAGGCTTGGTCCTCGCAGATCGTGTCGCCCGGTGGTGCGTCTTCTGTGAATGGGAATGTTTTTAGCATCTGGAGAATTCCCGACTAAATCCCGTTTACCAGCCGCGTTCACGATATCTTGACCTTGCTTCTCCCAGGCCAGATGTTTTTCTCCAGATGATCCTCAACAATAGAGAGCAAACTGGTCCAATTTTTCCTTTAATATGTTCTTTTTCCTTTCCCATTACGCTCCTTGCTTAACGGTTGCATGCATTGCATTATCTGAGTCGGGGTTGGGTTCCTGCATAGTTGCATCAAGAAATGTTCATTTGGTTTGGTCCGGCTCGGGCAGCATCATGGATTCAGGTTATGACATATATGGAGTTATCGGGTATATTCTCAATTCTATGGAGCCGGTGTTCAACGTGTGATTATCTATTCTGCTTGTTTTATTTTTTTTTTTTTTTTGGTTCTCTTTTTGCACATTATCTTGGTCACTGGGGCATGTTGAATGGTTGGACAACACGCTTAGCGGTTAGATTCGGACGCTGTTTACCTAGACTTGGAGAGGCGTCGGTGCGAATGTCTTCTTAGTTCATTGCGTGGAATAGATGTATTTGTAACGCTGGTATGTCCAATGAGAAAGAATGATAACATACTTCTAAGGATTAAATGTCTATCCAATTAGTCTCTATCTCAAAGAGGTCACAGCTTCCCGCATCATCGGCGCAACCTGCTTCCTGCTCTTCGTAATATCCGTTGCTGTCCAGATATGCCTCCAATTGTGTGTACCGTCGCTGTTAAGAGAGTTATGAATAGCCTTCGACAGAGCCCCCCCGTCACCATCGAGAGAAGACCACTCCTCAAGACCCAATTGCGAGCTGAACTGCTTAACAAAATTCTTCAGCGCATCAACTGCTAGGCCCTCGTCAAGCGCACACACAAACAACTCCCTATGAAACTTGTCATCATTCGAACTAAACGCCGCCATGACAACGACAATGCCCAATTCCCGTTTAGCGGCAAACTCGTACACTGCATCCAGGAACTCTTGCGGGGACCCTGCCTTCCGAACAACCCACGGAATCGACCTGACCATAGAGCAGAAGCCGATATTGAGGGGTGTCCCTGGTTCGCGAGAAGACGTCTCGATCCATTGCTTATAGTCGCGATCCAGGATCTCATCGACCGTCAGAAGATCCAGGCTGTTTTGCTTTGCCTCGAAGACTTGCGCATAGAGCTTATCTTTGTCGGTTGTCTTCTTGTTGAATTTGGGGGTTAGAAAATCCACGGCCCGGGTGTCGAATTGGGTTACTTTGTCTTTGGCTGTGAGATTGGCGGTATCAATCAGAATGGGGGTTACGGCAAGTGAAGCTACTTGCTCCTCAGCCGCCATCTGTGGGGTTTGGGCTTCTTTTGCTCTTTCCTCAGACCATCTTCCCCTCTTGCTCAGCGTGTGTATAACAAGCGACGTGCATGATCCGCTCTTCTCAATGACTTTCGGTTCGATATCGAGTCGAAGGAATCCATCGTCTTGGTGATGGTCAATGCAACCTATCACATTGAATTCAACCGTCGGTAGCCCGTCTAAACTACCTCTTCCTTTCTGTCCGTCCAGTGCGCCGTTTGGCAGCGCATTCCAGTCTACAAGGACTGCATCGGCATTTACCTGGTATTCTTCATTAACCTTTCCATTCTCTTGTATGTGTGCATTGAAATCTGCCACGGTGAGGATATGGTCGTGGAGGATCGCCCCGGCCGATTCGGGTGTCTCCTCCCATGGTTGTTCATCTCGCGCCGGGGGATGAGTTGACAACCATAAAGCTTTGACGAACTCCGGTCGCAGTCGGCGCAGTTCAGAGCCCGATGGAACATTCGGTAGGTTTATTAAGGGAACATGGTGCCGGTCAGTGTTGTTCGCGAAGTATGAGTAGGTTATCGCAGATATAATAGAGTCGAGGTCCGCGGAGGGATTACCAATGACGTATACGGGTGCTTCTGCGCGTGTCAATGCGCCGGAGAGAAACCGGCGATGAGTCTGCAGGGCAGTTTTTAAGAACCGGAAAAGAGTGTGTTCGGAATTATTGGCCATTGCGTGGGTTTGTGTGTTGTTGTTCCCCGCGGTGTTAACGGTGGGTGACGTTGGTGATGGTGATGGTGATAAGAGATAAAAATATATATGTACAAAGTACAAAGCAAATTCATGGGCAGAATATTATCGCACTTCATACCGACTACATATCCTCCACTGATTATTCGTCTCAACAATGTATGCAATCGATTGAACACAATCTCTTTTTTTTTTTTAAAAAAAAAAGAAAAAGAAAAAAGAGCAAACGAGAACAAACAGGTTCCGCTCCAATATTGGATATTAAATTGTTAAATTTAGAGACAAAAAGAAATGGTCCCAGAGAGGCTCGAACTCTCGACTTCTGAGTTATTAGCTCAGCACTCTAACCGACTGAGTTATGGGACCAAGTTGTTGATACGGGCCATGAATTCTAGTCTGATATAGCATATCTTGACTCTGTGCCCGATATATACTTCTCCCATTACATCACATCTCTCCAAATCAACAAACCAACTCATCAACCAACATGTCCTTTTCTCTCCCAGAAACCTTTTCAAAGCTCCCCAGATATCCTCTACTCTATCCGTCCCCATCTCCCATTCACCCTCTCCCAGCACTAACCAGACATCTCAACCACAACCCCAAAGCCGCCCCCGCAGTCTCCCTCTTCGCCAAGCGCGAAGACCACTCCTCCCCACTCGCCTGTGCAGGCAACAAGTACCGCAAACTCGAGTATATCGTCCCTGACATCCTAGCTAATTCAAGTTTGCATATACTCGGAGCAAGGTCGGGAGCAAGGTCGGGAGCAAAAGCTACCACCACCCTGGTGACCGAGGGTGCTATCCAAAGCAATCATACAGTGCAAGTCGCCTCGGTAGCGCGACGCCTCGGCCTCGAAGCAATTGTTATCCTCCATAAAGCTACCGGGGGCGGTTTAACTGCTAGTTCAGATAAGAATGCTTTTCTACGTACGGGTAACGTGCAAATTTCCCGGCTTCTAGGCGCGGAGGTGCGGATGCTCGAGGATAGTTCGACGGTGGATGACGGGGATCCAATCACGCCTATTCTGGAGGAATTGCGTGCTCAGGGGAAGGTCCCCTACTGGATTCCTTCGGGGGCTAGCTTACATCCCTTAGGTGGGCTGGGCTATGCGCGGTGCGCTTTTGAAATTGCGGCGCAGGAAAAGGAGCAATTGGGAGAAAATGGCCGATTCGACTATATATTTGTTGCATGTGGGAGTGGAAGTACCATGGGAGGCTTGATTGCGGGATTCAAATTACTGCAGAAAATCGAGGCACAGACACGACAGGATGAAAATGCAGAGAGGGTTATAGGTCGTAAGGTCATCGGGATCTTGAATTCCCCTACCAAGCCGCGAGAACATCATGAAGGTCGAGTGCTCAACTTTGCCCGGCGTGCAGCACACCTCATTGGACTGGACCCTGAGCGGGACGTCATACCAGAAGATGTCAATTTAGACGATCGGTTTGCTGGCACAGCCTACGGAGAGCTGGACCCGACGTCCAAGGAGATCTTGGCATTGATAGCGCAGGAAGAAGGGGTCATCGTTGATCCCGTGTACACCGTCAAGGTCATGAGAGGCGTCATGCACTGGGTACAGGAGGGCGAACTCACCAGAGACTGGTCACGCCGCTTAGGGACCTCGCCCAGCGAAAATCGAGTAAATGCGCTGTTTATCCACACCGGGGGGCAGTCGGCTCTAAGTGCGTATGCAGACATAGAGTGACGTGGCAAAGGCGAGAATGTCAGTTTAAGCGAACTAATGTCTATTCATTAAAGGTACAGAATAACGGTAGTCTGACTAGTATTACACGGGGCACAGGGCAAAACAAAGACACGAGGAATCAAGTAGACATGAGCATACCACTCGACGATACCAGCGCACAGAGACGGGGTTGTTTGACCCTATAAAGGTCTGAGTGATGGAATCAGATAACAGGTCATAGGCTATCACTGTAGCTTCACCCATGTAGATATAAAACGATGCAAAAATCAATCGAAGCAAAGGAGGGAAAAAATAAAATAAAATGAGATAGGAAACAAAACAAAAGGAGAAGAAAAAGACCACGTGCGCGTTGAGAAATTGCCAGCTCCCCAGACACCCCACACTTTTTTGATACACCCGGTCCATGTAAGCAGACGTAAAAGCCATGGCGAAGAAAGAGCGAGAAAGAGAGGAAGAAGGAACAGACCGCTGAGTCGCAACAAATAAAATGATTGTCAAAACCAGCTGACAAGGAAAGCACGTACTAATCGAGTGCGTCTCGGGAACATCAATACCATAATATCTTTACATCAAGAACACAAAAGTAAGCCTCCCTGGAGACCTGTAAAGGCAACGCCCTGGAATGTAGGATCATGCGGAAAACCATGGATCAAACTCGTTTTAGTAGATATCGTTATAGTCGCATCGTTGTCATGAATGCTCAAGGCAAAAAACTGGAAGAACCCATAAGGGATTATTCTCGAAAACAGTGTTATAGGTCCTCTGTACTGCGGTCGGCCTCAGCTAAGCCATTGACTTCCGCACTAGACTTATCGTTCCGTGGCTCTTCGTCCTGCGGAGTTTCAGAACGATCCCCATTGCTCGCATCAAGTACTTCCAGAGCCTCATTAGCATGTGTGTTCTCCATGAGCTCTGGTTCTTGCTCTGGGTCCGGCTCAGGCTCTGCATCTTGATTTGTCAAATCTGCGAAGACGTCGTCGAGGTTCTGCCGAGGACTGCTGTCAAAGGGATTTTCAGTATCGACATCGACCCCTGGTGGCCCGTCATCAGGGTCCCTATTGAACCGTGGAGAGCTAAAGAGAGATGCATCAAGTCCTTGATGATCTGGAGATGGGGAGCGCGCAGGGAATGAAGGGGAGTGAGCGGCAGCATGTGGCAGGAAAGCAGAAGAGCTGGGAGCAAAGGCCGGTGTAGAGTCGCTTGCAGGAAGCGAATAATTGGCAGAGAAAGGATAAGGCGGGTTTTGGGCATCAGTCATTGGGGTTAATGTAGGTTCACCACGGTTTGAATCGGAATTTGAACCATCGCCTGGCGTCTGTGATTCAGGAAGCAGGGAAGACTTGCCCGACTGTAAATCAATAGATTTTCGGCTGGGTTGCTTTGTACGCAAATGAGGAGGAAGATCTTCGGGGCGGTCAACGCCGAGCTGTGCCATAATCTTCTGCTGTTTGGTTGGACGTGGCTTACGAGTCGAAAGAGACTGTTCCAAGATCGGAGGCGGTTCTGGTGCTACCGGAGCCCATTTATGGATCTCTTGTCGGAAGAAATTGGTTTCGTATGCCAACAAGACCTCCGCACCTTCTATCTTTCGGAGATAGAATATCAATGTGGGAACCTCCTCGGTAGTGGTGCATGCGGCGTTGGTGAAGCCATGGAGAAAATCTCGAAACCCAACTGCTTGATTGATGATGTTGTCCAAGGTTTGTTCCTCATCAGGTTGGAAAGGCAAGCCTGCGATCTCGGCCTGCCAGTCTAGAAGATCTTCTAGCTTTGGACGAGCCGCATCCCGGGGTATTTTTTGGCGCCAATCGCAGATAGGACAGGTATACTTATCAAACTCCTTGACTTTGCCCCTTGCAATCTTTAGGCACTTGCCGTGATACCTATTATTTAGGGTTAGTCGGTGCCTATAGTGTTAACTAACTGAAGGGGGAAGAATAGGGGAGACTGACCACTCGTGGCAGACTTCACACTCAATCATCATTCCAGCTTCAGAGTGTCTGCAAATACAGAAGACGTCTCGCTTCCGTGATTTCCCACCGCCCCACATGCTAGGAGTGATATTACTATTGTCTAACAAACCATCGGGGGTGTTATCTCGCGAAGAAGGTTCGACGGGGGGTCGACAGCGATCTTCCAAATCAAAACAATACGAGTTCCTCTTTTCAACATATTCCATATGCGACTTCAAGATATGTAGCGGGGCATTTGCCTTTCCGAATAATTTCTTGCCTTTTCTCATCCAATCCTCATGGCGCTTCTGCTCACGTTCCAGGTCAATGGCTCCAGTTGGCCGGCTATTCAGCTCCTCAAGGGACTCCATGAGTTCGCGGACTTCCTTGTACTTGGGCCGGTTCCTGAAATCCAGATCCTTGCTTCTCTCATATAGAGACTGGATTTTCTTCTGCGCTTCACGCTGTTTTGTCAATATGGCATCTACCGCAGAAAGCGTCTCGGGGGAGACAGGGAAACGAGAAGCCTGGGCAGACAAGGCTTCCAGCTGCTGGTAATGAACAGCTTCTACAGACATCAATTCCTTGGCTTTAGCTTCCCAGGCCTCACCATGGCGGCACAGATCCTTAAAATAGAGCAGATGATCGTTGGTATCCGACAAACCCAGCTGCTCACCAGCCAGAATTAGTTCTTGACAGCCCTTGAGTGTCAGGTACTGATCGCGCTTTCGACGCGCTTCCTCGTTCCATTTCATTTGACGGAGAACATGCTCCAGCCCTTCAACCTCGGGAATATCCACATTAAAATTACGTGCGGACTCCACCAAATCTTCAACTTCCTGGACCGATCGAATGTGGGGGTTCATAAGGGCAACGTTAACGTCCTGGCGGAATTTCTCGATCTCGCGGGTCTTCTCTTCCAGAGAAGCCATCTGTGGACAGTCGAACGACAGTTTATCAGCCTCTGCAAGAAGGGCGTAGATATTTTCTACTCTGCGAACTTCACGATCACGTTCTTCCAGCTGCGCGGCCTTAGAACTACTTCTGCGCCAAGCTTTCTCATTTTTTCTCCGGTTTTGCTGCTTCCGGGTAATATAGTTGGTTGCTTCTTCAACCCACTTATCGCAGCGCTGGACGAAGGCCGCAAGATCTTGGAGACCAGGCAAATGGTATGGGATTTTCTCACCTTCACTCAATAGATTATGAAGGACCTTCAACTGTGGCCTAGGCTCATCTTCCAATGTCTTGTCGAGCTTCTCACCCCATGCTTCCGGGATCCTGGCACGGTCCTGAACTTTTTGCACCAAGGCCTTCAGAGCCGCATCACTAAATCGGTAACGTAATGTGTGATCTGGCCCAAGTAGCCTTTGTTTTAGTGGCTCTCCGCAACAAACACTCGTGTCGACATGCGACAGACAAACAGTTTTCCCAGTTTTATAGCAGCGAAATTGTGTCAGATAAGTATATGCTTTGCACCACTGGCACTGGTAATCTTCTTCAGGTAGGTCCTCATCTTCGACTACGAACTTCAGCTGGCAACCACCAATGTCCATGGCATCTTCGGAACCAAGCGTGCAATGATGCGGAGTAACCTCTCGATGTCGGGAGAAAAATGCAGCTCGCTCAGAAAGCTCCCGTGTGCAGGTCCGCTGAAGGGCCGGAGACAACCATTTGGCAGTTGTAATGGATGTATCACGAGCTGCTGCCGTTAAAAGTAATTCGTCATGCGAAAAACAAGGATGTCGCCGGAAATCCTGCAGACGTTCCACACCCATTGCACCCCAAGGTTCCCAGTCAGCAGGTGCAAAGTTGACAGCCTCATTAAAGTTAAAGCCATGATTGAATCCTGCGTGATAAGCTTGGGGGAAGGTGACGACGAACTGCCCAGCTCGTTGATCAAGCGCGTACACGTTGACACCAGCCTTTCTGAGCTGATCTGGCGGCATCAAGGTAACTAGTTGGAAGAGAAGATCAGGCTGACCCTCGAAAAGTTCAGGGACTGCCTGCCGCATGGCTTCCTCGAACGCTTCTGCATCAGCGCCAGGAATGCCATACCAAGTTTTTGTGGCACCGAAGTGTTGATAGTTGGCCGAGTACGCATAATGGTCTTCATTATGCCAGCAGAATGTTGAGAAACACATTCCGACATAAACCCAGGGGACTGTCATGCCAGAGATGTCCGACTTGATATGGCGGAATAATGAGTCACCGTGGAAAGGAAGAACATTCAGGTTCCACGGGTCAACTGAATAAGGATCGAGAGGATTCCGTTCAATAGTAGGAAATCCACTACCGTGAGTAGTCGAATGGATGTCAGCACCATACTCTACTTCAACGGTCTCTGTCAGGCTCTCCACCAATCTCCAGAACTCGCGTTCCACGTCGTCCTCAGACTCCCGTCTATGGCCGTTCAGGACAGGATCAAATGGCATCTTTGAGGCGAAATAACTCTTTTTGAAGTTATTTGCCTTTTCTTGGAACTGTCTAAGCGAGTAGACTCCTCCTTCCTCGAAGCCAAACTCCCCTGTGCCTACCAGGCATTTTGGGCAGTGCCAATCGTATTCGGGAATGGTAGTCAGAGGGGGATCAAGACAGTACTTGTGGTATCCTTGCTCGCAACTATCGCATACCAGGATCGAGGAGCTGTCTTCTGATTTGCCACAGTTCTCACATTTCTAGGTACAGTTAGCACATTATAAACACGACCGGCAACGTGATATCAGCTTACATCACCCGTCTTTCGGCTGTCACTCTTCCGTGCCCGGGGCGGGGCGGGCCGAAGAAGACTCATATGCGAACCGGCAATTGTAGGTAAAGGCGCATCTACGAAATCATTAGATGCCGAATACAATGATGGATGACAATAATGTTTACACACCTTTGCGAAGACGCTTACTACGCCGACCGTTCGGGTCGTCTCCATTCTCAGTTTGAGAACCGCTTTCGTGGCTAATCGCGCGCTTTGTGTGATGGCCATGGCCATTAGAGACAGGAGTCGAGATCGAAGGATGCTCAGCGACACTTTTCGGTGTCAAAGAGCCATTCTCTATTTCACGCTTTATGGTCGGATTGTTGTTTACTGCTACAAATGATGGCGACCGGTTAACAGCAGTAAATCCCGAACTAGCATTCACGGGGGTAAACCCAGAAGCTACTGGCCGAGGAGGCGTCGGCTCAATTGGAGGTGTTGGTTTATCTGGGGTTGCTTCAACCTCCCTCGGAGTGCTCTGCGGAGCGGACGGTGGGACACTCATTGTTCCCTTGGGTAGCATGTGCGGCGTGCCATTGTCAAGTGGTATGGGCTTCTTAGCCATAGGTGACTGATGAGGCGACGGTGTGTAAGGGCCACCATGTTCCAGCTCCAGTTGTTGCTGCACCCCGGGCTTAGCCACGCGGAGGTACTCTTCGTATGGTTGGAGCCATCGCTGATAGGAATTCTTCAGCGATGTTGAAAGTGAAGACATTATCTTGCCACTGTAGCCAAGATCGCGGCCAATCTCAGCCCACTTCTTCATCTTGCACACTTGGTCAAAGCCACCCCTAACCTCGACAGCCTTTTTCAACTTATACAAATCCAGAGGGCGTTTATCGACGCTCGGAAAACGGTTGAGGTTGGTTCCATGTTGTTTGTGGAATTTGGCCAGCTGATCGAGGTAATTTAGATTTGCTCGGGTTCCTGGGTCCGGGTCAGAACTGGGCTGCGGAGCACCACCGGCGGCAGACGTGGCTGAACGCGGGGGCATACCTCCTTCAACCGAGTTGAGCTCCTGCCGGCGGGTTTTGAAGTGGAACCGCTGTAAGATTGCTTGTCAGCCTCTATACCTCACTTATATTATTGTAAGTTGGCAAAAGGTGAGAAAGGGATTTCTGTCCGAGATGATAGACAGCCCTAGAGGCGTACCATGGCAAGCCAACAAACCATCAAACGCATGTACATACCTCTGTGTCAATGGCAAACGGCGGTTGCCAGCCTTCGGGCGGAATAATCCTGCAAATTCCATATTTCTTGCCTTCGGGCGCTATCTTGCGGATGTACTTTTCCGGATCCTTGAATTCCTCCTCAGTCGGGCGAAACGTAGGTGCCTCTTGTAAACCGTGAGGTCGGATACGTTTACTTGGCTCTCGAGGGGCATTGGGTTGTCCCCGTCGCTCAACCGTGGACAAGTCAAGAGGCATAGACCGTCGAGCACTTAAGGGTACATTGTGAGAATGCGACGGGTGAGTGCTAGAGGATCGGGTGGGTTGACGGCTCGCCGAAGGCTGTCCGCCAGTCGAGTTGCCTCCTGTCGAGGCCGGAGCCACCATTTCTTATATGCGACGGTCTGATCGTGGGTGGAAGAAAATTGCGCGTGTCTTATCGCAGATGGAAGGGGGCAGTCATCCGATGCGAAAGGCACATGAGAGAAAGGACAACCGTTGAGAAGTGGACAGATACGGAGGTTAAAGCAAGTGAGCCGACCGATTGGAGGAAGTAGTAAGGGCAGCGGCTATATGTAAGGCACGCCGGGGGAGCAAGTTGATGATGGGGAGGATAAAGTAGATGTCCTAGGAACGGCCGAGATGAGCCCGGGAGGACAGAGAGTGTGGAGAATCTCGGAAGAGGGTCAAGAACCGGTAGCGTGTGCCACCAGACCAAGGGCAGGTCAGCGCAGGAAAGTAATCCTAGGGAGCAATTCGGTTGTTTATGGAGAGGAGGAGCTATGCGTGTAATTATGAGTTAGCAACCTGTAACGATTGGAGGAATGATTGTAGATCGATGGGTTAGTGTTGAATTGGGTGTGTAAAGGTAAAGTAGGGCAGGTGGTTGGTTAGGTAAGTAATCCGACTAACTAGTCACTCCTCTCAAGTTAGTCGTACCTCAGGTTAGGTTCGGTAAGGTACTTACGGACGGGAAGTTATTTGATAGGGTCCAGTGTATGTGTAGGAATGAGATGCACACCTACCTAGGTACTAAGTAGTAGTAGTAGTAAACTAAACTGCCGGTTCAGGTCAGCTCCTCCGTCGACTAGTGCTATAGAGGGTATACAAGTGGGTGGATCAACCTTTGGGAGGAAGTTTCTATTTTTTTGGGGGGTTTGTTTTCAGAAGAAAGAGGGAAAGCACCATCGAAAGGGAAGCCAAACTAATGGAAGGGGGGTTGGAAAGGGTGTTAAAAAAAGAAGAAAAAAAAATAGAAAAGGTTATACCTAGGCTTCGATCCATGATTTGTATTGCAATTGCTTCACTACTACTACTTTACTTCTGGGGCTGGTAGCGAAAACCCTTGAACCGTAATATCACGTTCTCCGTATTACGGTATTGAAAGATATTTGCTGGCCGCAAACGGTGAGATGTGACGAGATATTGCCAAAATTGGGAGATTGCACGTAGCTTCAGCTCCGTCACGGGCAATATATGAAAAACATTTATTGCATTTTCTACGCTAGTTACAATACTTGAAGAGCGAATACAGAATTCATTCAGCGGGAATCACTCTACCAAGCATCTTTGCAAGTCCAACTGAGAAGAGATTCGCACACAGTAGGAGGGGGAATAACTGCCCACATCAGCTTGACGGAAAGCTTTCTCCCAACTGGTACATACTGTACCGCAAGAGACGTATGAGGTTGGTAATTATTACCGCAGGCTATCCGGCTGTCCACTACTTAGTTTCAACCGCAGGTCGGACTGAACTCGACTAATATCACTAGGTCGTGCCCGTGAGATGATTAACTTATCTGCCCACAAACAATACAAACTAGCTCACGAGATATGCAATAACTTCTCCGTAGACCCGAGTCAATCTCAGGAGAAAATGATTTTCCCCGTAGGTCCTTGGGCCCTAGGGTAGTAAATAGTGGTGTATGGGGGACATGACAGTCAATTATGACACGTCAACCATGGTCCGGATCCGACCACAATAGCAATGCTAAAATGATAATGAGACATATTCTGACTTCAAATGCTTCTGAGGAACACCCGGAGCTTGTCTAGCGGATTTGTGCCCTGATAAGCGTCCTTTTTCACTGGTCCATGGTGGTGGTCGTCATGCAGGGTACGCTATTTTTCATATCACATGAGCCCGTAATTTTACGGGTGGATTACTTCCGGACTAGATCGGGTTTATTAGTAAAGCCACCATGTCGGCTTTGTGTTTGTCTTAGTATCTTAGAACGGAGTAGTGAGGTATGCGAGTGATTTTCCACGGGGAGAACCCACGCCTATCGAGAATGGACAGACTATTTTCCAATAAATAATAGGCCATTTTATTGACCCCTGTATATGTATTCTGTATGTACATATATACAAATTTTTATATTGCTCTCGAAGTTCTACCCAAATCCTATAGTTTGTACTCCGTATTGTCGACCATTCTCCAATTTTAGAATTTTTCCTAATGGTCGTCTGGATTATCTACTAAGTACGTTGACCCCTTGTTCTGTTGCGCTGACATTGTGGATCATGCAATACTGCAATACCCCTTCCGGTTGTATTCCTGAGGAGGCTGAAATGGATGTTCAACTACAGAATACTCTGTACTACTAACCCCAAAACTTATTAGTTACCGTGTACAGAGTTGCTTAGTGGGATCATATGATCCTGGTAAAATAATGTGCCTGAGGCATGAAACTCGATTCCCTGCTTTGACACAAAGTGCAGATTTCCATGGTTCAGTTGCCTCGATGTGGGACACGGGGTTGGTGTAATGTTACATTGCATAAATACAAGAAGTAATCTTTCTCAGAAAAGAACAACTTGAAAAGCAATATTCAACAATATGTGCTGCTTATGACATCTGTATCATGTGATCAGGATATATATCCTACAATAAAAAGTGTAGCTCTACCCAGAGATTATCACCATTCTCCAATGTACACAGTCAAAGAGGCAAACACCCCCTAACACAATTCAACAATTTTGAATAAAACCAACTCCTGGTAAGACTTTACCACGCCTGAGTCCTCTAACCGCCATGGCCGATGTAGACGACGTTCCTACAAAACCGATACCGGCCTTTTACTGCTGTTATCTTCTCCGATCAACGGTTCGGCAAACTTCTCTGTACATCGGCTCTACTCCTCACCCATCTAGACGGCTCGCGCAACATAATGGTGTGTCAAAAGGAGGAGCACGTAAGACCGCAAATGATAAGAGACCTTGGGAAATGGTGCTCATTGTAGAAGGCTTTATGAGTCGGACTGCTGCCTTGCAGTTTGAGTACGTGGCGTCCTTTGACTCGTCATCCTGTTCAACGCCCCTCTTTCCTGCCCCAAGCACTTGATTCTTTGAGTCAATGCTATATATACGACTTAGTCTTTCTTATCCTTAGCCTGGACTAGATATCTAACGTCTTTGCAGGTGGGCATGGCAAAAACCGGGCAAATCTCGTCATCTAGGCTTTGATGATGATAGTATGGAATCCGCTCGAGGGATGGGTAAAACCCGACCTCATGGTTCGGCGAGGTCCTTGAAAGGGCACTTGGAGAATCTGCACGCTTTGCTACGATCGACATACTTCTCCAGTCTGCCCCTCCGAGTACGATTCTTTGCTGACGACGTTCACCAACTATGGAGGGTCTGGAGTGATCGCGTAGATGGTGTCATTCCGGAGCACATCAAAGTTATCCCAGATGGTAGCTGTGTGGAAAATAAGCAGCCTGACATTGAATACGCGAGAGTTGGTAGCGTCGAACACATTCCGGTTGACTATAGTAAGATACGTGATTGCCTGGAGAAGACAGCGTTTCAATTGGACGACCCAGAAGACTTGCAGTGCAAAGTTTGCCAAACACCTGTTGTCCCAAAGAAAGAGCTGATAGTCGTCTGTCCTCAGACGCGCTGTTACTGCGTAAGTCATTTATTATGTCTATCGGCTAGGTTCTTAGATTCTACCAAAGAGCGAGGAAGACTCGTCCCCATATCGGGAACATGTCCTGGATGCCACAAAACTGTCCAATGGTCACTGATGATGCAGGAGCTGAGTTTCCGGACCCGAGGAGGAAAGGAACTGCAGACTATTTTGAGGAAAAAGAAACGAGGCGATTGCAGGATAAATAATGTTCCGAGAGAGGACACTGATGATGTGAGGACAGTTACTGCAGAATACTGTAACTTTCCCGAGTCAGTTGATGCCTCAATAAAAGGACCGAACGATGCCTTTGATGAGAGTACACACGACATCTGTTTAGAAGATGACTGGTATGAGTCGCTGGCCCTAGAATCAGACCATGAGATCGGCGATTGGTCGAAAAGCCATCCTGCAATGTCCACAAGAGTCGAAATAGTCATTGAGGATAGCGATTGTGATATTACAGGATAAAAGCGCCCAGTGATTCGCCTTCAGCCAATTGAGTCCGAATCAAGCTGCAACTGAGTCAAACTTTCGCAAAGGCCCAATAACCCCAACCCGTGCTATACAGTCAGTTGCTTTGCCCCGAATCTCTTCTGATACTTCTTGGAATGATCTTCCTGCATTTACAACGTAGATGTCGCCGTTGGGTTGCAGGTCAAATAAAGTCTGGAAGAGCTCGCGCACACGGCTCTGCATGGCTTCGTTCTCATACCGTTCCACGCCAAACCCGCCCCGCTTTGCGGCCTCTGTAGGGGAGATATGAAGGAAAAGACACATATCTGGCCGGGGCAATCCGATTTCTGGCTGCCACGCCCAACCAAGAGATAAAGTTGGGATTCCCTTTGCGGCAGAGTACACGGCACCGGAGTATGAGTAACGATCCACAATCACGGTGACCCCTTTGGCTATGTCTTCTTCAATAGCCTTGGCAATCTCCCAACGGTTGGCAGAGAAGAGGAGATGAATTGAGTGGTCGTCCAACTGTGACTGGCCACGTAAATAGCTATCAATTAGTTTGCCAATGGCCGTGGTGCGGTCTGGTAAGGAACTAAATTAGAATGTTGTCCGCATGACCGAAGAGATCTTGCTGTGTGCGAGAGATACCTGGAAACCGAACATATTTTACTGAGTGGCCTGACTCTTGCAGGTAGTCGCGCAGGTTCTCGCACTGGCTTGACTTTCCAGCTCGGTCCAAGCCCTCGACAACAATGAGAGCCCCGCGTGTTTCTCCGCGATTTGTATCGTCCGACATGGGTGTATGGATGATAATAATAGTTGTAAAAGCAACTTTTGGACTTGGAGAAGGATCAAAAGTATCCCGTTTAAAAATAATAGAAATAAAAATAAAATACAAATGTCTCGTCTGATTATGTGCAACAAAATGTTGGTTAAAGAGGAAGATTTGACAATGCGGAGTGTGAAGGCCGGAGACACGATTGATTCATTGGATTCTTGGTCTGTATTTTCAGGCATCCCACTTCCCTCTTTTGGTCAAATCAATTAATTTCTTTTCCCCGACAATCAGCAGATCAGCAGTGTACCAGTCTCAAATCTCTTCGGTGACCGCCATGGGTTCTGATGCTTCGCAACGGCCTCCCAATGATATGGTCAATTTTAATCTTTTAAATTATGCTACTGCGTCAACCTTGGCCCCGCGATTGGGCAAGCTGGCAATCGCGGGCAGAAATGCTATCCTTACGCCGCACTACATCCCATTGACGTCGCGGGGAGCTGTCCCCCATCTTGCGCACGATGTCATGCGCGAGCAGACTGCTATTAGTGGTCTATATTTTGGTCTAGAAGATTGTATGTATTTGATCATGTCCCCGACTTGACAGATCCTGGAAGTTATGAAGCACGCAAAGCGCTGACAGTTAAAGATCAGTCATAGAAAAGCTGCAGAAGAACGGATGTCCACCGGTCTACAAGACGCCAGCTGCGCCGAATGAGTCGCCTCTGCGCAACTTTGTTTGCCTCCCCGAAGATCCTGTGCTGGTTTTGGGCCCACGTCGCGTGCCTCCGCTCGCATGTCCCGCATCGAATACGCCAAACTCGGTTGCTGTGCTCACAACCGTTGGTTTCGCACAACTGGAGACTGGTCAGTATGTCGAAGCCGTGCAGAGATTACGTCCAGATATTGCGGTAGGTTTAGCCGATTTGGTCTTGACCCATCGGCCTGGGTCGAAGAGACAAGGGAAGATGGTGGATAGGACTCATGCGTTCACTACGTATTCTACGGAGAAGCTTTATGGAGATACAGTCTCAGAAGGGAATCGCTCGAAGACGGCGTACTTTGCTCCCATACTCCCATTGGACAATGCGCAGCAGATACTGTATTTGGAAGACCTGGAAGACGAACTCCGACGGTACATTTCCGGTCTTGCATTGTATGAGTCGGCATCGCTGTCTGTCGTTCCCGAATCTTTAGGAGATCTTCCCCGGTTGCTCTTCAGTGAACCAGCTACTCCACATGACATTTTGCGCGAAGTCTCCCTTGGCGCTGACCTTTTGACAATTCCTTTCTTGAGTGACACCTCGGATGCTGGCATGGCCTTGGACTTTGTCTTCCCGCCACCATCTGATGCCCATGACACACCTGCCATAGAACCTAAACCGTTAGCACTTAATCTATGGGCGCCCACTTTCACAACAGACACAGCACCGCTCAAAGAAGCATGCCAGTGCTACACGTGCCGAAATCATCATCGCGCATATATCCACCATCTTCTGTCGGCAAAGGAAATGCTGGCTTGGTCTCTCCTCCAACTTCACAATCTCCACACGATGGATAGTTTCTTCGCAAAAATCAGAGAAAGTATCCAACAAGGTACTTTCGAATCAGACGTTCAGAAATTCCAACGTACCTATGCCCCTCAACTACCTGAAAAAACAGGCGAGGGTCCAAGGTAAGCGAGCTCTTCATTTCTCTTCATACACGTTTCAACATAATACCACTAACACCATATTTCCACAGAGTCCGTGGCTACCAAGCCCCAAGCAGGGGGCCAAACGAACCTCGCCGCAACGCTCGCGCATATGGTCGCTTGGACATTATAGAAAAGTTTGCCGAATCGCAATCCTCCGTCGCTACCCCGGACACGGGGGCCGAGGGGCTCGAGGAACATGGGTTTGCCAAGAAGTTGTCTTCCTAAACTTGGTTCCTATAGTATATATGAATTCTATACCTAACGCTACTGACACGAATTTGGTGCTGAGGCGTATGTGGTGTTCACCTTCGGTTTTGTTTCTGCCTCTCATAGTCTTGATTCTCGGGGATCGATACTGTTTAAAGCGAGCAAATCTGCCCCACAATGATGCATTCCAGCTAGATATAAGATCTCTAGAGCCTAGATTGTCATTCAATAACTACGTGATTATAATTGATCATAAGATCGTGATGCAATAAAGCAAATAGGAACATGCGAATGATGATACTCATGGTTCCTTGTCGCGTTTTTATACTTTTCAGTAATCGGGACTAAGAAAAGCCAGCGCGCTGCTTATTTTGCGTTCACTAGGACCCTCCACATGAATTTCTTCTCATCTTCCTCTTCCTCCGATCCCATCTCGGTGCCCGCTCCGAAATCCTGTCCGACAACGCAGATGAGCCAGACATCATCCTTGGTTTCATTGAGGAAGCGTTCGGTTGCAGAGTTACGGGGGTAGATGCGGCGCCATTCATCCCAGATCCGAAACGCCTCGTCACCCCAGGCGCGGAAACTCACCTCCTCAATGATAGTGGGGGTGACGATTTCTTTTCCGCGAAAGACACCCCATGTCACGGTGTTGACGTTGTTTGGGTTCATTTCAATGGGATCAGCGTCGGAGGTTTGGGCTGGTAGAGACGATTCGAAGTCACCCTTACCATTGGCGGCGAACCAGGCAAGTTTCTCATGACCGTGCTTCTGAAGTAGTGGTTTAAGTATTGAGTGGTAGTCTTTGCTGGGACAGAAAAACTCAACGAATGGTTTCTGGAAAACGAATCCTTCGCGAGGGGGGCCCCAGCCGTAGATAGGGTCATCGCTACGAACGCCGTTCACAGCTGGTTGAGATGCCAGAGTCCACCAGCCATTACCATCAATGAGCTGCAGAAGTTCCGGGCGAATGACTTCTGTTTCTGCGTTCAAGCCAGAGCTGCCTTCTTCGGCACCGCCTTCTGACCATGGAACCATATGCAGTTCACCCGAGACGTGGCGGCGGAAGAGAGCGCTGATGTCCTCACGCGACACAGGGAAACCCCAGATTCTGTGTGCAACTGAAGGCGGAACATGTAATGATGGACCATAGCCATCAATCTCACCGAATGCTGGCGAACGAGCGTCACCCCAGCGACCGTTGGGGAAGTCATCCCACGTAGCCTCCCTACCAAGTGCACCTAGGCCTTCGGAGATCTGGAGGGTTGTACTGCGATCTGGTGGCATCGCAGGCATTCCAGCACTAGTAGCAGGGGCTTCATGAGAAACGGAGGCTTTTGATGACACTTCAGAAGCTTGTAGTTTGTCTACAATGACCCGGTTATGGGGAAGGGAATTAATAGACGAAGCCCTTCTCCTGGTTAGAGAGCGTAGTTGAGCCCCGTCCATGGCAGAGATATCACCACCATCTTCTATTGCGTCAAAGTCTTCAGAATAAGGAGGGATAAGGTCACAGCGTTCAAGGATGAAAGACACCGTCTTTTCAAGGTTCAGTGTATAAAAGTGAAACCCTCGTAGTCCAGGACAGGGGATATCCCTCATGCCATCCACAAGATTGGTGATGATATCTACACCAATGCGCTTCACAGAATCGTCGTCGTGTTTAACTTCTTCTAGCTTCGAGAGTATCTGAGGCGGGATTTGGACATGGCTGAGTTTTGTCACCCTCGTCAAGATCTTGTAGCTGTGGATTGGCATCAAGCCAGGAATGATAGGAATGGTCTTGAATGCGCCGGATTCATGGTTCCGTAGCATATTCTCAAACTTAGTGTATGCCTCAATATCATATGTCAACTGAGTCATTATGAAGTCTGCACCCGCCAGAGTCTTCTCTACTAGATATGGAAGATCTGTCTTGGGATCCTGGACGTCTTGGAAAGAATCGACTGGATGACCTTCTGGGTAGGCAGCCACACCTAGACAAAAGTAATCACCATACTTTTGGCGAATGTACCGCACTAGGTCTACCGCAAACGTAAAGTCCCTGTTGCTATCGTCTTCTCCATGCATGTTGTATTCTTCACTGCGCGGCGGATCGCCCCGAAGAGCCAGAATATTGCGGATTCCCAATACCTTGGCCTCTTCTAGTGCCTCATCTACCAAGGCACGACTCATGTTGGTGCAGGTAAGGTGTAAACATGTTGTCAATTGCAACTGGCGCTGGCAGATTTCCGCCAGCTCCAGAGACCTTTGTGCAGTGGTACCTCCAGCACCCCAGGTGACAGTGACGAACAATGGTCGCAAAGCTTGTGCCATGCGTTCCAGACGGGCTTGAAGGTTTGCGAACCCCTACGAGAAACAGACTTGGTTAGTAGTCAAACTCGATACTTGGAAGCACCTTTAGTGCGGGGAGGAGGGATACCCCACCATCTGAGTCTTTGGAGGGAAGAACTCCAAAGAGAAGTAGTTTGCGTCCGGCGGCAAAGCCGCTATCTTGTCCGTGATCTTCTCCATCTTGTTCCCAGAATCTGTTCCGGCGAAGTTACGGGAAAGGTGGTGGTTGAAGAAGGATGACTGGGGCGATATCAATCGGGGAGGGAAAGGTTTGGGCCGGAGTTTAACGGACCCTCCGATTAACGGAAAGGGAAGCATGCCAATGACATCTCCATGAAGTAGGATTACATGACATGGTCGAGAGCGACTAGGATCAGTACGTCAGTGATCTTATTTGGATCTGACCTTGAAATAGTCGCATGCTATCTGCGTAAGCTACCCAAGAGATGGGCCCATTCTCGAACAAACTTACTCCCAGACATTCAAGACGCCTTGTTGCAAACATAGCAAACATCAACCCGTTGTCGCAGATTAGCGTAGTATACGATCATGGATGAAATGCAGACACTCCGACAGCAATCCATGATACTACGACTTTTAGACCTACATTCGAGCAGCGATCCTGGATCACGGCACAAGATGTCCCTGTTTCGACGCCAATCGGCACTCTTTCACCAAAATCGCCTTTCATCCTCTTTGAAGCACATGTCCCGCCGTCATTTCTCCTCACCTCCTGCCTCTTCCACCCCAAAGGACTCTACATCTCGTCTTCGCAAGCTGAACGATCGCCTCCCGTCCTTCCTTCGCGCCTATACAATCCCGTTACTTGGGGCCCCGGGAACACATATTACCTCCTTTTTGATCCTACATGAAATCACCGCCATTGTACCCCTATTTGGACTTGTGACGGCTTTTCACTACGGAAACTGGCTGCCAGACTTAACTTCTAGTAACGCCTTCGAAGAAGGAACCCGGCGATTTGGGCGGTGGTTACAGAAGAAAGGCTGGGTGGAAGATGTTGATGTGGACGCCATTGAGGTAGTCGGAGGTGTAAACAGCCATGGCCCTGTTACCAAAGATCAGATGGCGGAGAGCGACAGGAAAGGTGTACGCCTGGTGCTGGAATTTGCGACGGCCTATGCGGTCACCAAGGCTTTACTGCCGCTCCGGATTGCTGCAAGTGTCTGGGCGACGCCTTGGTTTGCCCGAGCCATACTGATACCGACGGGAAAAGGGTTAAAGAAGCTGTTAGGGAGAAAGTAGAGAGTTGAGGGTCATAGTATCACTACAAATTCCGGACTGGTGTTAATGATGCACCAAAACCGGGAAGTACATAAAAGTGTTTGGTACAAAGTACTTGGGCTCGTAGATATTGTATAATTTCTATTTCTCAGGACGTCTTTTCTGGTTTATCTCATTTGCTGTCCTTACGGTTTAAGCCGTACCAGGGAGCAGATGTCAGATCAAAGATCGAGCAGAGAAATTTAAGCCTTCTCGTAGATCCAGTCGAACTGGCTGTGCTTGTACTTCTGGAGCTCCTCAGGCTTGAACCAGAGGGCAATCTCCTTCTTGGCGTTCTCGACGCTGTCGGAGCCGTGGCAGACGTTGCGGCCAACATCCTATACAAGAGTAAGAGTCATGCACAGAGTGCTACGGGTCACGGAAGGGGAAGTGTCTTACAATGGCGAAGTCACCACGGATGGTGCCAGGGGCGGAGGCAAGAGGGTTGGTGGCACCGAGGATGGCTAACAAATTATCTTAGCGTTTGGTATTCAAGGATTATAGCGGACGAGAACTTACTGCGACCGGTCTTGACGACCTCACGGCCCTCCCAAACCATGGCGACGATGGGGCCGCTCAGCATGTCTAGAAGTTAATGTCAGTATCTCCGCACAAGATGTTGGCCTCATTTATGGCTAGGTGCTTACAGGAGACGAGGCCGGGGAAGAAAGGCTTGGAGCTGAGGTCAGCATAGTGCTGCTCGAGGTGCTCCTTGGAGGGGGAGCAGAGCTTCAGAGCAGCGAGCTTGAAGCTATGATTCATTAGTACAAAATACGTATGTACATTGTTGGGATTGGAAGAATACGAACCCACGGTTCTCAAAGCGAGAGATGATGGGGCCAACGAGTCCGCGCTAGGTGACATGGTTAGTATTGATTTCACCCCGAACGAGCCATATCCGTATGGATCATGACAAAAATCGGATGACTCAAGATCCATACCTGGACACCGTCGGGCTTGATGGCAATGAAACTACATCAATTGGTTAGTTTGAGTAGACATTGAGGGGCAACCGGTCGGCGAAAAAAAAAAAAGCAGAAGAAAAATTCCAGGGCAGAGGGAGCAGGGATGGAAGGGATTAGGTGAAGGTCTGGGGTGACTTACGTCTGCTCGTCGGACATTTTGAAAGATTTATGATGTCAAAGGTGACAATTGAATCAAAGAGATAGGATTGAGAGGGAGAGGAAAAGGAAAGCAGAGGTGCTGGTGTGAGTTGGCCGAAAATATACCAACGAAAGGACCGCAACGGTGGGGCACGAGGGGCTGTCGTTGGCTGATACCGGCCATAGCTATGCCTGATTGCCTTACTACCTGAGGTGTCTGACCCCAGCCGCCTTAACAGGGATAGCGTCCGCCCTAACTCAATCTGGAGCTTCCCCATCTTCGCCGACCATCTGGCCAGCCTGGAACTAACGGTCATTGTACTATTATCAACGATCTAAGAAACTTAACAGCTTCGTGTGTCGGACCTCCAGCTCGGGTAGATGCAGGTCAGCACATAGTTGCTGACAAGTATTGTACTTTCAGAGGTTGAGTGTCTCTGATCGCATTTGTTAGCTCAAATGGCCGGGAGGCGACCGTTGTCCACTTGCTGGACCCTATTGCTTTCTTTGGTTATCCTACTCGGATGTCTTGTCATACCCGGAGGTGAGCTTTGTTTACACGCATGGTCCCCAAGTTCTAATGATGCTAACGGCTAAACTTAGTCACTGTAAAGCACGAGAATTTCAAAAAATGCTCTCAATCCGGTTTCTGTAAACGAAACAGGGCATACGCCGACGATGTCGCTGCCAAGGGCTCAGGTTGGAGCTCTCCATATGAACTTGATTCTTCATCTATTCAGTTCAAGGACGGTCAGTTGCACGGAACAATTCTTAAATTAGTATCCGCCGAGGAAAAGGTCAAGTTACCCCTCACCGTGTCCTTCCTCGAGTCTGGAGTTGCCCGAGTCGTTATCGACGAAGAAAAACGTTTGAACAAGGAAATCGAGCTTCGACATGACAGCCAGGCTCGCAAGGAAAGATATAATGAAGCGGAAAACTGGGTCTTAGTTGGTGGCCTGGAATTGAGCAAGTCTGCGACCCTGGATTCCGAATCGGAGAAAGGAATTACCAGGGTTCTATACGGGCCAGAGAATAACTTCCAAGCAATCATCCGTCACTCTCCTTTTGACGTAGAGTTTCAAAGGGATGGACAGACTCATGTTCATCTGAATAACAAAGGATACCTGAACATGGAGCATTGGCGACGAAAGGTGGATACTTCCGAGGGTGACGGTGAGCAGAACTCAGAATCCCAGGAAGATGAGAGCACGTGGTGGGAAGAGACTTTCGGTGGAAACACCGATACAAAACCCAAAGGCCCTGAGAGTGTGGGATTGGATATCACATTTCCTGGCTACGGCCATGTTTATGGTATCCCAGAGCATGCCGATTCGCTATCTTTAAGGGAGACCAGGTAAAAGCCATCAAATATTCTAACTTATTTTGTGACGTAAGCTAATGATTCGATAGAGGTGGTTCCGGAAACCATGAAGAGCCTTATCGCATGTACAATTCCGACGTGTTTGAATACGAGCTCAACAGTCCTATGACTCTGTACGGTGCAATTCCACTTATGCAAGCGCACAGACCGGGCTCTACTGTCGGTGTGTTTTGGCTTAATGCTGCCGAGACATGGGTGGACATTGTAAAGTCGACATCCTCTGCCAATCCACTTTCTTTAGGAGTGGGCTCAAAAACCGACACTCAAAGCCATTGGTTCTCTGAGTCTGGACAAATCGACGTGTTTGTCTTCCTAGGACCTACACCACAGGATATCAGCAAGACGTATGGTGAACTCACTGGTTATACTCAGTTGCCTCAGCATTTTGCCATCGCATACCATCAGTGTCGCTGGAATTATGTCACCGATGAAGATGTAAAAGATGTCGATCGGAATTTTGACAAGTATCAGATTCCATATGATGTTATCTGGCTCGATATCGAGTATCTTGATGACAGGAAATACTTCACCTGGGATCCGCTGACCTTTCCTAACCCGATTGGCATGGAGGAACATCTTGATGAATCGGAACGCAAGCTTGTGGTCATCATCGACCCTCATATCAAGAATAAGGAGAAATACACTATCTCGGAGGAGCTTAAGAGCAAGAATCTGGCCACACGGAACAAGGATGGTGAGATTTACGAGGGCTGGTGTTGGCCAGGGTCATCTCATTGGGTGGACTGCTTTAATCCGGAGGCTATCAAGTGGTGGGTAGGCCTGTTTAAGTATGATAAGTTCAAGGGTACACTTCCGAATGTCTTCATTTGGAACGATATGAACGAGCCATCCGTGTTCAACGGCCCGGAGACTACTATGCCTAAAGATAACCTTCATTATGGCAACTGGGAGCACCGTGACATTCACAATGTTAATGGTATCACGTTTGTGAATGCGACGTACAATGCGATGTTGGAACGGAAGAAAGGCGAGCTTCGTCGGCCGTTCATTTTGACACGGTCGTATTTTGCTGGGGCCCAACGGATGTCTGCCATGTGGACTGGCGACAATCAGGCAACGTGGGAACACCTGGCCATCTCTCTGCCCATGGTTTTGAACAATGGTATTTCTGGGTTCCCCTTCGCAGGAGCTGATGTTGGTGGTTTCTTCCATAACCCGAGCAAGGACCTTCTTACACGATGGTATCAGACCGGCATCTGGTATCCTTTCTTCCGTGCGCACGCACATATAGATACTCGTCGGCGTGAGCCGTATTTGATCAGCGAGCCTCACAGGTCTATCATCGCCCAGGCCATTCGTTTAAGATACCAGCTCTTACCTGCCTGGTACACTGCCTTCCACGAAGCTTCGGTGAATGGAACACCGATCGTGAGACCCCAGTTCTATGTTCATCCTTCGGACGAAGCAGGCTTTGTCATCGATGACCAACTTTACCTAGGCTCTACTGGTATCCTTACAAAGCCAGTAGTCTCCGAGGGAGCAACTACTGTAGACATCTATCTCGCCGATGATGAGAAGTATTACGATTACTTCGATTACACGGTCTACCAAGGGGCCGGTAAGAGACACGAGGTGCCTGCGCCTCTTGAGAAAGTGCCCGTTTTAATGCAAGGTGGCCATGTGGTTCCTCGTAAGGACCGACCGCGCCGCAGTAGTGGGTTGATGAAATGGGATCCGTACACTCTTGTTGTTGTCTTAGACAAGAACGGAGAGGCAGATGGTACGCTGTATGTGGATGACGGTGAGACGTTTGATTATGAACGAGGAGCGTACATTCATCGTCGTTTCCACTTCCATGACTCCACTCTGTCGTCGGAGGATATTGGAACTAAGGGCCCCAAGACGGCCGAATACCTCAAGGCCATGGTAAACGTTCGAGTTGAAAGAGTGGTGGTTATTGATCCGCCGAAAGAATGGCAGGCGAAGTCCACAGTGACTGTCATTGAAGATGGTGCCAAGACGGCGTCCACAGCGGCCATGGTGTACCATGCCCAGCCGGACGGAAAGGCCCCATATGCCGTGGTGAAGAACCCTACTGTCAGCATTGGAAAGACATGGAGGATCGAGTTCTGAGCTTTCGAAAAGGTAGCAATGGGAACGCGTGTAGACCCGCTTGTTTATTTACTCATCTGTTTTATTTATTGTCAAGATAAATAAAGTATCAATAGCAATTTTATGATTTATAGACATGACATTTCATTGTTTGTAAATCTAGCAAAATTAAGGTCTCCAGTGGGACCCGCTGAGTAAGCCTTAGGGACAAAAAAAGAAAGCACGCATGCGGCCGGTCGCGAAAATGTTCCACTAGAGAGATTGGCTACGGGGTTATCGAACAATCTTCTACGTAGCTTTTAGTCCGGCTTTGCTTGGCTCGATTGACTACGATTTATTCTTACTCCATCAAGGTCCATCCTCGCAGCCCGAGCAATTTTTACTAGCCCTGGTTTATATCGAGCCCCTAATCAGCAGTTTCACCTCCGGGGCGTTCCACAAATCTCCGTCCGTTCACGGGATAAGACCGGATACCCGCAGCGACAACTGGAATTTGTTCTTTTTTCCTTACTCGAGGCTCTGGTAGTGCATTTTGACGACCGACTGACTGCACAATGTATCTTGTCTCTCTCGCTCTCGAATATGGAGCGCCGTTCTTGTGGGTTAAATCTTTCTCCCCAATCTTCCGCACTTTGGACAACAGCCTTAGAAAGCTGACCGTGGATTCTTATACTCTAGTCTTATAACCTCTCCCGTAACCTCCTATGCGGATCAAATTCTCAGTATTCATCGTAATAGGAGCTCCGCTGGTTTCTCGTTGGATATACCTCTGATCATGCTGGTCGCGTCAATCTTGAAGTAAGACTATATTGTCCGCTTCGCACTGCGCTGAACGGCTTGGAATTGACCCTTAGGCTTAGAGTATTTTTCTGGTTTGGCGACAACTATTCTTTTACGCTGCTGGTGCAAGCCGTTATCATGATTGGAGTCCAAATGGTTATGCTCAAGGTTGCGCTGGATAATCGGCCGGCCCCCGGTGTGAAAAACAGTCTTGAGCACGTTCCGTTCAGTAGTGTCAGTAATGGCGGCGGACTTACTCGGCCCTACGACTTCTGGCAGTGGAAGAGTGCAAAGCCGTATGTACATCAGATGCCGATTAAATTATCAATATGTGTGGGAACTTACTTTGTCGGTGATACTAGGTATTGGATGTTTTTGGCTTATTTCATTGCTGCACTCTCATTTATCCAGATCTGCCTACCTCCAATTGCTCAGTCCGACTTCTACATTAACTGCCTCGGATATATCGGTTTGGCTGTGGAGGCTACCCTGCCTCTTCCTCAAATTATTGCTAATCATCTGTCACGATCGTGCAAAGGATTTCGTTTGTCGGTTGTAGCCGCATGGATTCTCGGTGATCTGATGAAACTGAGTTACTTCTTCTGCAGTCAGGAGGTAATTCCCTGGGCTTTCCGCCTATGCGCCTTGTTCCAGTGTGTCTGTGATTTGTACCTCGGGGTACAGTTTTGGATGTATTCCAAAGCCTCGTTTGGGGCTGCTGGCAGCCCTAGGGAATCCAGTGGAAATTGGACTGTTGAGGAGAAAGATATCCGGATGACTTAAATGCGTAACGGCTGCTTGCTGTTCCTTAGTGCTTGATGCACTGTAAATACTGGGAACCCAGGTGTTTTCGTTTCTTTTTACTTTTTTTTTTTTTTTTTTTTTTTTAGAGAGAGATTTTACTTAGACTAATTGCTAGAATAATGTGAATATTATTTTTGGTTACTGTTCGGACTATGAT